GTGTGCTGTGTGTGTGCTGTGTGTGTGTGTGTGCTGTGTGTGCGTGCTGTGTGCGTGCTGTGTGTGTGTGTGTGTGATCCCAATCCGAGTACTTTTTTTGTGTGATTTTTTCAAAGTTTACAAATTTGGACCTTGACGCCGGGATCTTGAACGTCCACGGTAACGCCACACCGCAGTAATAACCAGGGCGGCCGCTGGCACCGAACCGCGAACTTCTGCGTGGTCACGGCAGGCGCCCCAAGAAACTCGCCCCCGTTGTGCCAGCCGCCGCGTCGGGAGATGGGATGGAACCGGCGATGTCTGATTTCAACTCCGGCGTGATCACAATTCCTCCGCCTCGACAGCGTCCCAACCTCCCTGCTCATCACCCCACAAAACCTCCACCCTCATCCATCCACCACCGGCCCCCATTCACTCCTCGTGTGCGTGTGGATGTGGGGAGCGGTGGCGCGCTGCGGCTAGCCCAGAAAAATTGCGCGCAACTTGGTCGCGTGTAACTGAATCGCTCGAATGTGATCGTAGGTGGGATGGGACTTTATTATTATTAACTCCGGGACCCCTACCGGAACGATAAGTTGCATGCAACAGAGTTGCACGACTCGATGCAACCGAATTGTTCAACTTGATGCAAGAATCTCGAAGCAACAAAAGTAGAGCGAGCGATAAAATCGAGTAACTGCGCAACTGATGGCTCATAAAGCGAGCGTGGGCCCAGCGGTAAGAGAGCAAACATTGACTAAGAGGTTATTGAGTGGCTGGGTGAGTAGGTGAGTGAATGTTGGAGCGAGTGCGTGGGTGAGCTGGTGTGGGAGCGAGTGCGGGAGTGAGTGGGTGGATGAGTGAGTAGGTGGGTGAGTGAGTGGGTGGGCGAGTGAGTGGGTAAGTGAGTGGGTAAGTGAGTGGGTGAGTGGGTGGGTGGGTGATTGAGTGAGTAGGTAAGTCAATGGGTGGGTAAGCGAGTGAATGGGTGAGTGGGTGGCTGAGTGAGTGGGTGAGTGTGTGTGGGTGACTGAGCGCGTGAGCGAGTGTGGAAGTGAGTGGGTGGGTGAGTGAGTGGGTGAGTGAGTGAGTGGGTGAGTGAGTGAGTATGTGAGTGAGCGAGCGAGCGAGTGTGGAAGTGGGTGGGTGAGTGAGTGGGTAAGTGAGTGGGTAAGTGAGTGGATGAGTGGGTGGGTGAGTGGGTGGGTGGGTGAGTGAGTGGGTGAGTAAATATGTGAGTGAACGAGCGAGCGAGTGTGGGAGTGAGTGGGTGAGTTAATGGGTAAGTCAGTGGGTGGGTGAGTGAGTAAGTGGGTGAGTGAGTATGTGAGTGAGCAAGCGGGCGAGTGTGGGAGCGAGTGGGTGAGTCAGTTGGTAAGTGAGTGGAAAGTGAGTGGGTCAGTGAGTGGGTAAGAGAGTGGGTGAGTGGGTGAGTGGGTGGGTAAGTGAGTGGGTGAGTGAGTGGGTAAGTGAGTGGGTGAGTGGGTAAGCGAGTGAGTGGGTAAGTGAGTGAGTGAGTGGGTAAGTGAGTGGGTGAGTGAGTGGGTAAGTGAGTGGGTGAGTGGGTGGGTGAGTGAGTGGGTGAGTGAGTGAGTGAGTAAGTGAGTGAGTGGGTGAGTGAGTGGGTGAGTGTGTGAGTGAGTGAGTGAGTGGGTGAGTGAGTGAGTGAGTGGGTGAGTGAGTGAGTGGGTGAGTGGGTGAGTGGGTGAGTGAGTGAGTATGTGAGTGAGCGAGCGAGTGTGGAAGTGAGTGGGTGGGTGAGTGAGTGGGTAAGTGAGTGCATGAGTGAGTGGGTAAGTGGTATGAGCAAATGGCTGCCGAGTGGAGAGGTCCAGGTCTCGATATAGATCAGGAGCGAGGAGTAAAATGTACAACAAAGCGATACAAGAATCGGCAAATTGAAGGTGATTGCAGGAACGCGAACGGAAATCACGAAACAAGAGGGGGAAAGGCCGCCCCGAGCTCCACCGGTCCGAGGCACAGCCAACTCTCCCACCAATGCGCCTTTGTCGCTGTGTGTGTGGGCATCTGAACCTGTGCTGGGCCTCCCCTAGGTCGACTCAGCCTCAAATTAGCGCCCGGTGCGATGTGTAAACATCGCCGCTAGGGAGACAAAGGCGACCAGGCGTGGCGCTGGCCAGCCTGTACAGGCGATAGGGGGTTCTTCGTATTTATTTCGCGTCGTTTGCCTCTGTGCGTGTATCTGTCCCTGTGTATGTATACCTGTGTGTGTATACCCGTGTGTGTATACCCGTGTGTGTATACCTGTGTGTGTATACCTATGTGTGTATACCTGTGTGTGTATACCTGTGTGTGTATACCTGTGTGTGTATACCTGTGTGTGTATACCTGTGTATGTATACCTGTGTATGTATACCTGCGCACGTGCGCGTCTCTCTGCATATGCGAGACCGCATGACGAGTGGCTGCGCAGCGCTTTTGCGCGGCGATTTTGCGCGGCTGCACTTCGACGAACCAGGCCGGCGAACCGGTCGCCCCGGTTGGACTCTCGGCCGAGGCTCACAACTTTTGAGATGAGTGCTGCTTGTTGCTGGCCGCGACCCAAGAGCGCTGGCATTTCTAATGCTTCCACCGCGTGACCGGGCAGCGCGTGTTGTTGTGATTTGTGTAATGAAGGCGACGCGCGATTTGAATCGGCGCCGTGGCACGACCCCCGGTAGCGTTTGAAGTCCGAGATATCAATCCCAGCACCACCACCACCACTACGAACAGCAAGAGCAGCAGCAGCAGCCGCAGCCGCCGAGACTCAGTGCCAGCTTGAGTGTCTCTTCTGTGGGGGTGTGAAGACGATGGGGGAGGCAGGTGGGCGGGGGGGGGGCTGTGGGGGGTGGAAGGGAAGCCGGCTCAGGGGGGCTCGGTGGGATGCGAATTTAATTCCACCATAAGTGAGGCAGCTCTCCCGGGCAGTGTGGCAACTGCACGCACAGCGGCAGTGCCGTAGCGCTACGAACCCCGCTACACGAATTCCATTGCCGCTCACGACCAACACCAGTGACGATTATCTGAACCGGGCACGGGCCTCCCCTAGGTTGACTCGGCCCCAAACGAGTACCTGGTGCGGTGTGTAAACATCACCACTGGGGAGACAAAGGCGGTCTGGCGTGGTGTTGGTCACACACCCCCTCGTGTGCCGTGACGGCCTTCATATGTGCTCTCTAGCACCACTTGCCCCAACAGTCTGTTCAGCCTATACGGGGGATCTTTGTCTTTGTATCCACAGCCCTTTGTCCATCCACTGCTGGATGAAGGGTCCCCCCCCCCGCCCACCCTCCCACGCCGCCTATCGGCGTTGCACGACCATACTTGACCACGCTGCTCAAGTGCGTTGCGTGCTCGTCAAACACCCGTGGGCCCGCGACAGAATTCAGTCACTGAGATTGTGGAGGAGGAGGCGGCGGTGGGAGGGGTGGCGCTGTTCGCGAGCACCCATCGCAGGCCGGCAGGGCGCACGAGCGAGGCGCTGTGGTCGACATCAGGCACGGGCGAATTTGTTTCGCTGCTGCTGCTGCTTAAACCCCGCAACTAGACGCTCGCTTACTTCGGATGAGTCCAGGCTCAGCTATCACTCGCCGCCGCGTCGAATTCGTGCGGCTGTGTGGGTGACCACAGTGGGCTAACCATTGCTCCACCGCTCCTTCTACCAAACCCCCTCCAGCCCTCCTGTTTAATGAGCGGTCGGAACTTGAAGGAGAAGTGAGAGAATTTGAAAGCGATTGCCACATTTTCTTGCGCAAGTGTAATCGTGGCTGCCGCATGACTTCATTGTTTAATTTACGAGGAATCAACACCCCCCTCCCCTCCGTCTCTTCACAAATCTACCCGTGAAGTTGTGAATATTTCCAAAGCAGGTGCACGCATCTGGCGCGCCATACAGAGCAGCGAGTGGCTTGGGCCTTCATTCTGATTGCGTGACACCGCAACCCCCACTCGATTGCTACGCACGTGGCCACACAGGTGGGGATGAACGCTCGAGGCAGAGGGGGCTGGTTGTGGTGGTGGAGGGGTTGGTGGTGGTGGTTGTTGTCGTGACGGAGGAGACAGGAGGTGATGACGACGGTGGCATTGGTGATGTTGGTTATTTTGGTCGATGGTAGTGGTATCGCGGATTGTTTGACATTCATATCTCAACAACTGTCTTCGCTGTGTTTGTCCCCACCTGATGACGGACGCTTGTGTTGCGCCCAAAACGTCGTGATTTAATTTAGTTGTATTCATTAATTTTATTGATTTTTTTTTACCTACGTGACTTTACCGAAAAAAAAACAAAGAGTATGAATCCTTGCAGTCACGAAAGCTTCAAATCTAGAATTCATTTTCTAACTAATGTCGCCATTCATTCGACTGCTTTGTATGATAATTAATACAGACGGGGGAGTGCAAGGCAGGTGATGTGCAGGCAGGTGTGTGCAGGCAGGTGTGTGCAGGCAGGTGTGTGCAGGCAGGTGCGTACAAGGCAGGTGTGTGCAGGCAGGTGTGTGCAGGCGTGTGCAGGCAGGTGTGTGCAGGCAGGTGTGTGCAGGCAGGTGCGTGCAGGCAGGTGCGTGCAGGCAGGTGCGTGCAGGCTGGTGTGTGCAGGCAGGTGCGTACAAGGCAGGTGTGTGCAGGCGTGTGTGTGCAGGTGTGTGCAGGCAGGTGCGTGCAGGCAGGTGCGTGCAGGCAGGTGTGTGCAGGCAGGTGTGTGCAGGCAGGTGTGTGCAGGCAGGTTCGTACAAGGTAGGTGTGTACAGGCAGGTGTGTGCAGGCGTGTGCAGGCGTGTGTGCAGGCGTGTGCAGGCATGTGTGTGCAGGCAGGTGTGTGCAGGCAGGTGTCTGCAGGCAGGTGCGTGCAGGCAGGTGCGTGCAGGCAGGTGTGTGCAGGCAGGTGTGTGCAGGCGTGTGCAGGCAGGTGTGTGCAGGCAGGTGTGTGCAGGCGTGTGCAGGCAGGTGTGTGCAGGCAGGTGCGTGCAGGCAGGTGCGTGCAGGCAGGTGCGTGCAAGGCAGCTGTAGGTGGCTCGTCTCACCTGTGTGGGTTCTCTGGTGAGCCTTGAGATGTGAGCTTTTTGTATATACCTTTGTGCACTCTGCATACACACGGACAGACACGCACAGATTAGATGCTTGACATCAAATGAACTCTCTCCTCTGATAATTCGCCGACATTGTCAAACAGCCCCATAGCCCCACGACAGCCCCAAACATGTTTGTCTATTTATGTGTACACGTGTGTGTGTGTTTATGAGTACACGTGTGTGTGTATACGTGTGTTGTGGGGAGCGGTAATGTAGTGGTTAGCGCGCTGCGCTACGAACCTGGCGACCCGAATTCGATTCCCACTCACGGCCAAAATCAGTGACGATTACCTGAACCGGTCCTGGGCCTCCCCTAGGTCGACTCAGCCTCAAATGATAACCTAGTGCGGTGTGCAAAACATCGCCACTAGGGAGACAAAGGCGGCCGGGCGTGGTGCTGGCCACCCACCCCCTTGTGTGCTGTGCCGGTGTTCACAGGTGCTCGCTAACAGCACTTGCCCCAACAGTCTGATACGGATACACGGGGGATCTTTGCCTTTTTATATGTGTGTGTACACGTGGGTATGTGTGTGTACACGTGGGTATGCGTATGTACACGTGTGTGTACACGTGTGTGTCTATTGCGGAGAGAGAGACGTTGCAGTGATTCGCAAGCGGCGCTGTGCACCATGCCAATATATTCTTCCTGTTGCCACGCACCGGCCGCTTCGATCATCCATCGGTGAGGAATCGCTCGACGTCCCCATGGAGTGATTACAAACTTCTGTAATCACTCCATGCTGACACTAAAACTATATATTTTTTTCTTATTTTAGCAGGTTAGGCCTCACTGAACTATGTATCTCTTTTTCAGAAGCGACATGGATATCACAAATGATAGCTCAATGAAGCGGCCTATCACCGTGTGGAAATGTCTAGCAGCCAAATACTTTAAACGCGTGATGTTGATTATAAATGTGGAGGGAAAAACCAGAGGACCTGGAGAAAAATCCACGCAGCTACGGGGAGACAGACACCGCAAACTCCAAATATACAGCAGCAGGCGTCAGGGTCGGGATCGAACCCACGAACCTCGTGTGTACCTGGCGAGGTAGTTAACATCTCACCACGTGAGAGAGACACGCAAACTACAAATACAGCAGCAGGCGTCAGGGTCGGGATCGAACCCACGAACCTACTGTGTACCTGGCGAGGTAGTTAACATCTCCTTCCCACTGAGGGCGACTGACTGCCTGGCCGTCGGTAGGTTTACAAAGCATCGTCTGTGTGACCTGGCTTACACGGAGGACAACTAAAGCAACGTTACAATATGTACGGTGGCAGATTGATTTTAATTACGGGTTTTACAGCTTTAATGTATGATAATGATGGAAGTAGAGGGAGGGGCCTTCGGTTTTAATGAAAAGCGCCTTTAAGGGCCCACAGTTTGATTGATTGACTGAGATGGGAATACTAATGCCTCGCTATCCCCACTGTTACGTCGAAGCATTGAAATATGAACATTTCTATTTAAGTTGAATTACTTCTCGTCTCCATTTGGGCATTCAAATCGAAATGCCTCTCCGCTGCCAATGCTGTTGCTCATCGTGAGGTTGCTACGTTAAGTTGCCTGCGACCTCCGTGCAGGATGATGCCATCGCACGCACGTAAAATACGTTTGCTAATTGTGTTTTATTTCTCAATATTTTATGTCGCGTATCATCCACAATCCCTGGTAAGCCTGGTAACTCTGGACACCCTGGTAATCTCTGGTAATCCCTCGTGATTCCTGGTAATCCCTGGTAATCCCTGGTGACCCTGGTAATGCCTGGTGACCCTAGTAATCCCTGTTGGTCCTGGTAATCCCTGGTAATCCCTGGTGATCCCTGGTAATCCCTGGTGACCCTGGTAATCCCTGGTGACCCTGGTAATCCCTGGTAATCCCTGGTGATCCCTGGTGATCCCTTATATCGTTCCACACCCACTGCTGCCGTTACTGAGTGAGGACGTCCCTGGCTGTCCACAGCTTCTGCCGGTGTAACCCAGGGGTCAGTAACCAACACTAACAAGTAGAGGCATTTGTTTTCGATTTCGGTAAGAACAACTCAACAGTGTTTCAAGAGCCGCGATGCATTGTGAACAACGTCACGCAGCAGTTCTTTAGGAGTTCGCGGGTTACCAAATCATTAATATCGTGTCAATTTAAAAAAAAAACACTGATCATCATGAAACATGTTCTTTTTAACTTGAATACACATCAGGCACCGTCGTGAAAGCAAGCGCGGTCTTCACACTGCATTATTATTATTCGCTTCATCTGTCTTCTCAACCTCTCTGATTTATATGCTATAAAGAAGGGCCATTGCTCGAAACGTTATCTATTATACATGTGTTTACCTTACACAAATCGTGTGTGTCCTCATTTAATTAACGGGCTGTGCCCTTGCTCCAGTCCCCGCGGCCCCAGCGCCACTACGCTCTGTCTTTCCGCGTTCACCAATTCACTCCCCTCATTCAAATACAAAGTTAACTCGCTGCACGCGCCTGATGATTGTTCCGCAGAACAGCACGCGTGTGCACACGCAACACGTGCACGCACACACACTAGCGCAAACACTGAGATCTCAATCTTACTTTGAATGATCTCTCTCTCTCACGCAGACGGCGATAATTGCTGAAGCACGCGTCACAACAATAATCAGGCGCGTGCAGTGCAGGACGAGAACATTATGATGAGTTGATGGTGGTGGGTCGCGAGGCCTGGTGCACTGGCCGATTCGTGTCGGCAGACGATCTGCCGACACGAATCGTGAAGAGACTGCGAACGTCGCCCCTGGCACGGGATCAGCGGGGAACAGGTCGGAGCGGATTCCTGTCTCGAGGGCTCAGCCAACAACGCACGCACGCACACAGTTACACACACAGTTACACACACACACACAGTTACACACACACATATAGTTACACACACAGCTACACACACATATAGTTACACACACATATAGTTACACACACACACATATAGTTACACACACACACACATATAGTTACACACACAGTTACACACACATATATAGTTACACACACACATACAGTTACACACACACACATATAGTTACACACACACAGTTACACACACATACAGTTACACACACACATATAGTTACACACACATAGTTATACACACATAGTTACACACACATATAGTTACACACACAGTTACACACACACAGTTACACACACACACACAGTTACACACACACACACAGTTACACACACAGTTACACACACAGTTACACACACACACAGTTACACACACACATACAGTTACACACACATATAGTTACACACACACATACAGTTACACACACACACATACAGTTACACACACATATAGTTACACACACACATATAGTTACACACACACAGTTACACACGCACACACACATATAGTTACACACACATATAGTTACACACATATAGTTACACACACACACAGTTACACACACATATAGTTACACACACACAGTTACACACGCACATATAGTTACACACACGCATATAGTTACACACACACAGTTACACACGCACACACACACAGAGTTACACATATAGTGGCACACACACACACAGTTACACACGCACACACACACACAGTTACACATATAGTTACACACACACAGTTACACACGCACACACACACACACAGTTACACATATAGTTACACACAGTTACACATATAGTTACACACACACAGTTACACACACATATAGTTACACACACAGTTACACACACATATAGTTACACACACACAGTTACACACGCACATATAGTTACACACACGCATATAGTTACACACACACAGTTACACACGCACACACACACACAGTTACACATATAGTGACACACACACACACACACAGTTACACACACACACACACAGTTACACATATAGTTACACACACACAGTTACACAAGCACACACACACACAGTTACACATATAGTTACACACAGTTCCACATATAGTCACACACACAGTTATACACACACACAGTTACACACACACACACATACAATTACACACACACATACAGTTACACACACATAGTTACACACACACACATAGTTACACACACACACATATAGTTACACACACAGTTACACACACATATAGTTACACACACATACAGTTACACACACATAGTTACACACACACACATATAGTTACACACACATAGTTACACACACACACATATAGTTACACACACACACAGTTACACACACACACACAGTTACACACACACACAGTTACACACACACACAGTTACACACACACACAGTTACACACACACACAGTTACACACACAGTTACACACACACAGTTACACACACACATATAGTTACACACACACGCATAGTTACACACACACACAGTTACACACACATATAGTTACACACGCACATATATAGTTACACACGCACACAAATGCACGTATGTCGTTACACATACATACGCACATGTGTAGTTACATATGCACATACAAGAAGAAGACAAAGATCCCCCGTATAGCCTTAACAGACTTTTAGGGGAAAGTGATGTTAGCGAAGCACCTATGAAGGCCGGCACGGTACACGAGGGGCGGGGGTAGCCAGGACCATGCTCGGACGCAATCTGTCTCCCCAGTGGCGATGTTTCCACACCGCACCCCAGTTACTTATTTGAGGCTGAGTCGACATAGGGGAGGCCCAGGACCTGTTCAGATAATCGTCACTGATGTGACCGTGAAGTGGAGTCGAACTCTGGTCGTCGGGTTCGACACAGACCTGGGTCGCAGGGTTCGGAGCGCCACCGCTCCCCACACACTCACGACAAAGATAAATATCCCCCGTATAGCCTAAGCAGACTGTAGGGGCAAGTGCTGTTAGCGAGCACCTATAAAGGCCAGCACGGCACATGAGGGGGTGGGTGGCCAACACCACGCCCGGCCGCCTTTGTCTCCCTAGTGGCGATGTTTACACATCGCACCAGGTACTCATTTGAGGCTGAGTCGACCTAGGAGAGGCCCAGGAC